TAGTACCTAATATTACTATATGTTATTGTTTGTTGTTATATATATATATATATATATATATATATATATATATATATATATATATATATATATATATATCCTAATAGGTGCGGAAAGGCCTGGACTACAAAACCAAGCGTCGAGGACGAGGCCCAGTCACTCGATCTTCTGTTTCTGACAGAACCGCTGCCGCAGGTACGGACGCTTCATCGCGTGTAGCGAGATACATTGTACAATTTCTGTCCCGGTCGCACCAAAGCAGTGCCACACCACGAACACGCACTGCTGCGTCTTTTGGATTGATACAGTGTGGGCTAGACTCGGAGAGAACCGCTGTGAATGCTGGGAGTGGTATGGCTCTGACTGAGGATGTATTCTTGGTCTATTTATATATGATTGCCTTGTTTGTATAACAGAATTGCCCTATTTGTATACGCTTGTCTTATGTGCGTTCTAGTGAAGTAAACACATTTAACTCGTGATGCACACGTCTGTGTTGTACTGTGTGTTGCTGTTTGTTTGTGTGTGATAGTGAGTTTCTCTGCCCCACTTTTCTTGTGTCTCAGTCTTCGAGTCTTTGAGTGGGGAGATCATATGAGGTATTCGCGAACATTGCGACCATTCCTTTTCATGCCACGTGAGGATAGGAATTAATATCTCAAGCCGATAGTTAGAGTCCCGAGAAGCTCTAGATGTATTGCTAAGTATATGGAACTCTCCATTGGTTTTCTTGTATTTAACGGTCAGGACGTATACGAATTTGTCGTATATTTTCACAGCAGGCACAATTTACAACTAAATGTTGACACAAATTCCCATGGCTGAAACAGGTATGCCTACGACTCACGAGCATAGGCGGAACATGCTCAAGTCCAATATGATCGAATGGAGTGGCCTGATCAAATACAGGGGCGCTCCCGTGTCCACTGTTGGCAATGGATGCGACTGGCCGTTTCATCTGCATCTGAGTGCGTCCTGGGGGAGATTCATGGCCCGTTACTTATACGCTACATGTCAGGCGATTGTGGAGGAGAGGAGACGAGATTCTAAAGAGAAGGTATCTCTAGAGCGCCATTACGTAACATGTGCGTGTGTTTATATTTTCCAGCTCAACTAGACTTGCAGTTCGAGGGAGGTTCCTGACCTTTACCTGTACACCACATGCCAGCCAAATGCGGAAGTGTAAATATGAAAACCTAATCGAAAGGTATATCTATATAGTACGTTGATGTGTCAAAGTGCGTGTGGGGTTGGACTAGTATGATTTTGTTTTCCACCTCTACTATATGTGCAGTATAGGGGGAACTTATTGTTTTGCTACTTGTGCACCACATGCCAGACGGTTGCTGATGATAGGCGACCAAATTCTATTGGGAAGGTATATCAGAGCTTACACGTGACAATATGTGGGGGCGGATATAGTATGTATACTCCATCCTCATTTGTGTGAGTTAAATTGGATTGTCTGTATGGTGTCAGACCGAAGATACGAGCATATGCGTACTCGTATCGGACTCGTTACCGATCAGCTATTACCAAGCAGCCGAGGTGTGCACGTTTGTACATTCAATAACTGTTTCCGTAGCTAGGATAAAGGCTTATGTACCATGAGCAAACAGACCCGCACATAGATATATATCTGTTCGAACAAATACATCTACATACGCTCTCTGTCCCATAAACACGCGCAAAGCATATTCGTACACGTCAGTAGGCGACCATTCATGGACGTGTGTAAACACATACAGTATAAATATGCATCAGATGCAACCACAGGAAAGCGACGAGGAAGAAGAATCTATTGAACTCGAAGCCTTCCGCCAAATTGCTGAGGAACTCGCAGCGGTGTCCCGAACTTCGGGGACGTCGCGAGTCAACTGCACCATAGCATTGGGCGCCCTGGTAGCGTGTGTCAAACAGAACTCGCGCGAATTGTATGCGTATGTCGACCGAGTGGTGGCTTCCTTTCTGTGCATGCTGGACTTGGAGTTGGACGGCGCCACAGGTATGTCTCTACGGTACATGTCGGTTGAATATATATGTGGCTCTCAGTAGTGCTAGTGAAATTGGTTTAGATGGTCTCTGGGCTAGACCTGGACTTAGACGACACTACAGTTATGTCTCTATTATACGTGTGGTTTTAATGTATACGTGGCTCATAGCAATCCTAGTTAAATTCTTACTGGTGGCCTCTGGTGTAGATCTGAATTTAGACGATATCACAGGTATGTCTTTATTTTATTTCCGTTTTATTAAATATGCGGCTCATAGCAGTCCTATTCTAACTGTTATGAATGGATTTTGGTAGTAGATTTGGAGTCAAACGATACCACAGGTATGTCTTCATTTGCACGGACAGGTCTTGTGTATATGTGGCTCATAGTAATGCTAGTGCATATGTAATTGATGGTTTCTGGTGTAGACCTGAAGTTTATCGGCACTACAGGTAGGTCTGTATTGCAAGTGCCAATCTGGTGTATATGTGACCTTTTGTTCTTATAGCTGTACTAATTATTTGTCACAAGCGGTGAATGGTGTAAATCTGCCGTTCAAGATCATCACAGTTTTGTCTCTAGAACGCGTACCAGGTTAGTGTGTATATGGCGTATAGTTTTTCTACTTTGTATGCAACTAGTAGTTTGGTGCCTAGGTCTGAGGTGAAAGCTACACTAATAACTCTCTGTTGTGAGCCACGACATTTAGTTCCTTCTCGTTCGTACTACCACATTCTATATTACTTTCGATTTGTCGTAGTACAAGCCATTATGTGATTAATGGAACCGTCTCGCACTGATTAAATAGTCGGTATATAATTATATGCGGATCAGATGATTAGATGAATTCGTGACAACAATTCACCGGCAATTGGCTCGTGCTAGAAGCCTGCGAAATTAGCATATGCTGTTGAGTTATCAAAAGACTTTGTGCGGGACTTCGATATTCTCCCCTTAGTTTTAGCCTGTATTTACAATAGGGAGACATCATTTTTCTTCGGTTAAAGAGTGTGTGGGTAGAAGAGACTCTCACTGTAATCCTCCGTCCCGATTGTACTACGACATAGCTGCTCTATAGCGCATGCGATAGTATGAGCATTTAATCCATCCGATATCTTTAAGTACATCTGTACACGAACGTATCGTTGAATCCGTTGACTGTTTCTTACCTACATTCTCACTCACGCCTCATATTATAAATAGATATCGAGGAGCGAAACAGAACCATCGCCGGCCCCGAACTTTCCTGGATCGTGACATCAGGGGGTGTCAATGATGTCAGTCCCTACAGACGTGTAGCCGCTATCCTCGGCTTGTGCGCCATTGGTCCTCGGTTGCGTTCTTCATCACACGCAATCTCAAGTACAGAGTTGAGCTTGAGATTAGTAGATGTGTTGGAGAACAGAGCCGACTTACTGGACCTAGATGCCGGTATTGGCTATGCGATAGCTGCTGGCCTAGGTGGGTGCCAATTCCGTTTTACGATTGACTCCATGATTGACTACATCATGTATGCACACACACATTCACACACTCAATCATGAATATATATATATATATATATATATATATATATATATATATATATAGTTGTGTGTGTGTGTAGTGTAGTGTGTGTGTG